CCCCAAAACCCCAAAACCCCAAAACCCCAAAACCCCATAAAGGATGACGAAGTTTGAAGGTAATCAATAATATTTAATTAGGTAGGTATTGCCCAATGATCTTTTGCAAATGAGGATTTTTGAACGGATGGGATTAATAGTGAAGTCGAAGAGAGTAAAACACTCTTGATCAGCGAAAATTCCTTTGTTTTCCTCTCAAATCCTCTCATCTTTTTCATTTCCTCTTTTCTGTCGTGTCATATTGATGATGTTTTCTAACATGCCTTCTAGAAATGGAAACAACCAGCCAAATTCCAACCTGCTCTGTATTGCTAGTTCAAGAGGAAAACAAGTATCCAGAAGATCAGACAAGGTAAGTACTCCCACTCATAACAGTCATAGTTTCAGACCCTTTGAAAAAACAGGAGATCTCAGTGGCAAGAGTAATCAAAGCACTGTCAACAGCCAGATGAGTAAGTATTAGATCAGATTATCCTATTAAAACTAAGAAGATTTCTAACCCTAATTCAGATGAAGAATCAGAAAATAATGAAGGCAATCCCTCTTCTACATTGTGTAAGAAGAACATCAACAAGAGGGAGAGAAGACTCATGCAGAACCGAGAAAGTGCATCTCGATTGAGAATCAAAAAGAAAGAAAATATGACCCACGTGATGAAAGAGAAAGAACAACTTAGATTAGATAATGTGACTCTCCAGAAAAAGGTAAGATTCATTAATAATTGGTCATACTTAATTCTGACGTCATACTTAATTTGCCTTGTAGGTCGATCAATCTCAACAAGAACTGTTCGATACACTCCAAGAGAGTATACAGCTGAGGAAGAGAATCAACGAAATTCAGAAGTCACAGAATGATTTACTTATTTCTTTTCTGAGTGATACGCACCAGAGAGGAATTAATCATGTTAAGGATACTTTCCAACAAGAAAATAAGCCTCAGAGTTTTATTAGGATTGAAAATAAACCTCTGAACCCCGTCCAGATTCCCCAATTGCCTCTTCAGACTCAAGAATTTGATCTGAATTCTGTGCTGAGTCTTTTGACAGCATGCAGAAAACCAATTGTTCCGATTCTAAGTTCTCCCATTAAGAGTAACCAAGTAACCAATTTTTCAAAAGCTGCAAATAATAACACAATGGTTGTAAACAATGGAATAAATCAGATTCCTAAGCCCAACACAATTTCAAGGATTCTGAATGTATTGACTCAGGGACAACAGAAGGATGAACTCCCTACTTCTATTTGGAACAAGAACTAAGGTACAACTCCCAATGCAAGGTTCATAAAGAAGCTCAGTAAACCACAGATAATGCATATGTCTGCATTAGACATCTCTTCTTAAAGCCCTTAAAGGCCTATCTGAAGGACTTTGGGAAGACTTTCCTGTGGCTTTGAAATCGCTAGTTAAGGACCGGACAAGATTCAGATATCCAATTCTTCTAAATTAAGCTTCATCCATAATAATTGGTATTGAAGCGATATTGATAGCTCCTTACTAGGATTTAAAAGGAGAGCTTTCATGAGCCAAACTCTCTTGGATAAAAGGGCCGAGAGGTGATATTATAATTATTGTAAATATTCTCAGGAAAAACCGTCCTATTTTCATAAAATCCTATCTTTACCATTTGTGACATCGACCTAAAATTTCTAATTTAATTTTCCAATTATTTTTAGTTTTGTTGCTATTTGGATCATTTTAATGAAGAAAATTGGAGATCAACTACATGATGCCCTTATCTCACCTGATAATAGCGGCAATGATGACTCTTAATAAATAAAAAGAGACTATCAAAACTCTTTATATTTGAGGTTTAGCTGATGAGGCTTAATGGCTTTTTACTTTTCAACCAGAAAATCCATTCTCAAACGAAATAAAACTTAGCTTTAAAACTAGGAGAAAGATTTTATAGATAAAGTAAAAGAGGTTTTATGATACTCAAACTCTTGTGAAGCCTATGTTCATTTACAATCACTCTTAAGTCCTTCACATAGCTGGGTTACTTTTAGTAAAGTAACCACAGATCCTAGAAAAGGGTGTTTTAGGAACTTAAAATATTAATTCTTACTCAGGATAGACCAGTTTGGGTGCAAAAGTAACCAAATATTTGGTCACGCCTTATTTTATAGATCTCTTAACAGCTGTAATGAGTATCAATATTGATTGTTGTAAAAGGGGTTTTGGGGTTTTGGGGTTTTGGGGTTTTGGGG